GGCAGCAAGAATAACTGCTTAAGTTAGCAGAGACTTCACAAATGAAAAATAAGATGATCTCAGAGAGGTGTTGCTCTGTGATGGTGGGAAAGTAATGCACAGGCTGGGGAAGCCATTTCGAACTCTAGTTTCCAGCAAATGCAATTTTGTTCCCATGAATATCTATTTTAGTAAAAGAGACTTTGCCGGGGTTTCATTGCAAATTGACACAAAGGAGGTTTGAGCAAAGGGCAAAGCCTTGTCTGATTCCTCTGGACCTCTTCCCCGGAATATGTGATAAAGAAAAATAAATGCATCCATTTTAAACTAAACGGACAAGGGCTCAAAATTATAATAGCCAGGGTTTGCGTGGCGAGTTCCCGCCTCCCCCAGGAAGAAATAAAGACACAGGACACCAAGTATTAAGGCTAATGGGCAAAATAGGCCACAACTTTATCGATTACAGGAATGAGCGGTATTGGCTTAGGCTTTGGTCCTATCGACTAGCCGGCTTCAGCCCAATTGCGTGAAGACCGGCAAGGGTTAACCACCAGTAGAGGGAGTCCTGCTGAGGCACGTCAACTAGGAGCTCCCCCGGGGTCACCGCTCGGGGGTGTGCCTTAGGACCACACCTCCATAGGCTTCGGATAGGGCAACGCCCCCCGGAGTCCTTTATTGGACTACCCTTAGCTGTGGGGGGAGGCGATGGTGCTTCCTCCCCCACCCTTCACATACACTTAACCCTCCCTTACCAATGCCTAACCGCCAATGCTGAGGAGTTGTGATGAGTTGCTACGAGGTACGTGAGAAACCAATTGGCTGGAGCCAATTTACCAATTGGAAAAAATTCCTACCAGGCCCCTTGCGACGACCAACCAAAGTCCATAGCAATGTCAAGGAGCCTGCCTAAAGGGAGGGAGGGTGGGAAACTGAATCAGCTGGCTGGCACAGTGAAAAGAGCCTTGGCCGCGCCGGCCCTAAATAGGGCAGGCCACGCCCCCCGCCAGCCAATTGGCTGGCTGGGTGGATGACGCGGCTGAGGATTCTCCTGATCTCGCAGGGGCTGGGAACACGTGGGGTGGGTGTGAAGCCCACAACCCCACCTCCTCCCAAGCTCGGTAGTGGCTTTCTCAAACATACAATAGCCATGTACTCCTTTTGAGTGTTTCTTCTTACCAGTTTACCCCTTCTTGGGGAAATATAATTTTGGGGTGGTTTTAATGCTACTATTTTATCTCTTTATATGCAGCTAAAATGACTACGATAAAGTAAAATGAAAAAAATATGCAATGTACCCTTTGAAACCCTTCTGTGGACCCTAGGGTTATGCTTCTCACACTTTGGGAAACATGATGCAGTGGATAGGATGGCTGAGCTTTGACATTAGTTCAAATCTCTTCCCAGATAATCTGAATAGTTTCAGGGCATTCCTGTCTCTCATCTTATCCAAGTCCATTAGAGTTTATTTCTGTGCTGCCTTTTGATCCCCCTCCCTGCCAAAAAGCCCTCAAGGCTGCTCACAAACCTTAACAAATATACAAAATTCAAGCTATAAAATAATCTTTTCCAAATCCAACCAGTACCTTAAAGCACAACAATAACAGCAACAAATAATAATACCCACATACACCAATCCCTTCCTTAAAAGAAGAGATCAGTCTCCCAGCCCTTAAAAAATGACAATGAAATGATGAGTAACCTCTTCAACAACAACCTGCCTTTCAGCATATATGACACCATTGTTTAGGAAGGATATTGACAAGCTGGGAGTAGTTGTAGTCTTGTTGTTATTATTTTCATGTGTGTAATGGCTGTTTGCTAGACACAATAAATTGAACTGACTGACAAGCTGGAAGGTGTACAGAGGAGGGCAACCAAGATTATTAAGGGACTGGAAACCAAGCCTTATGAGGAATGGTTGAAGGAGCTGAGTATGTTTAGCCTGGAAAAGTGGAGACCGAGAGGTGAAATAATTGCCATCTTCAAATATCTGAAGGGCTGCCATGTGGAAGATGGATCAAGCTTGGTTTCTCCTGCTCTGGGTGGTAGGACACAAGCCAGTGGATTCAAGTTACAGGAAATGAGATTCCAGCTGAACATCAGGATGTACGTTTTGACAGTAAGAGCTGTTTGACAGTGGAACGGACTCCCTCGGGAGGTGGTGGATTCTCCTTCACTGGAGGTTTTTAAGCAGAAGTTGACTGCCCATCCAACTAGTTCTCCCACTTCCCACAAACACAAGCATGTGCTTTATCTGGGATCACATCCATGCCATATATTTAAAATAGACATTATTTGTACAGTGGCACCTCGGGTTACAGACGCTTCAGGTTACAGACACTTCAGGTTGCAGACTCTGCTAACCCAGAAATAGTACCGAGGGTTAAGAACTTTGCTTCAAGATGAGAACAGAAATCGTGTGGCGGTGGTGCGGCAGCAGTGGGAGGCCCCATTAGCTAAAGTGTTGCTTCAGGTTAAGAACACTGTCAGGTTAAGAACGGACCTCCAGAACGAGTTAAGTTCTTAACCCGAGGTACCACTGTATTGCATGACACAGCTCAGTATTCCCTCGAGTACATGGGTCTCTGTGCAAATCCTTTGCAGTCAACTGCTTAACTTTTCCAGGGGTAGCAAACAGCACTTCTTCTCAGCCTCTTAAATTCCAATTTGTCTTTAGAAGGTGAAAAGATAAACCCCTTGTTCCCGGGGATAACAACACGACATACTTAAAAACGACAAGACCTACTTAAAGGAACAGCCACAATCATTTTACCAGGGCTATCAGAAAGGCGAAACATTATTTCAAACTAATAAGCTTGCTTGTTGCAGTGAAGTTCCCCCTGATGTGTCATTTTAATTGCAGATTAGTCTTGTTCCTGGACCGCCATAGATAGATTCGCGAGACAGACGACATACATCATTAATTGCATTGTGGAGGGGGACTGCATATCAAACAGTGGCTTTGTCTGACCCGACTCCTACACCCTGTCTGATTGTTATGAAATTGTTGTCAAATGCAAAACAATGCTAAGGAACACTAGAAGTGAGATTACTTTTTTCCCCCTTCTCCAGGCACCGTAAATAATATTATAATACATTTCATATGCAAAATTTTTACAGCAGCATCCAGGACTGAAGGATGAAAAGACACTGGTGAGAGCAGATGTGCTAGTTATACCACCCTTGTTGGGTTCTGCCAGGGTGGGAATTCCAGTGTGGGTAACTGCCTTTTGCAGTTTAGCTGGATTTTTAAAACCTTCTACAGCAGAAAAAGTAAATGCATTTTTCATTTTCTTTTTTTGGAGGAGGGAGAGGCATTTTGCTACCTACCCCAAGCCAAATTCCAAGGTGTCTTGAGGTGGCAAATAGGATCGTCCTCAGAAGGAGGTCCTTTTTGTGACTGGGCCCATGGACACCTTAAAATTGCTTACGTCAATCATTTTCATTGGATTTTCATTTTTCTTTTCTTTTTTTTAAAAAAACTCCAATACAAGAATTCAATTGCAATCCTTGGGATTTATTCCTCTACTCCAACACTTTTTGAAAGAAAAATATACAGGGGAGAGCTGCAAATGGCTGAAATATGGGGGGGGGGTGTTATTGCTATGCAACAATATTCTAAAAGGACTATGTTATACATTTACCTCTGTGTAAATTAAGAACATAAGAAGAGCCCTGCTGGATCAGGCCAAAAGGCTCATCATAGTCCAGTGGGTAACAGGAGGCCTCAGAAATGCACACAAGAAGAATATGAGCTTAACAATGTTGTGTTAAGCACACACACTACACTTTCAGCAGTCAGCTACAGAGGTTTATGGCACCACGGATCAACTGGTTCTTTGGCATAACCCCTTAGTTCTCATCCCATGCTGTAGTCTTTGGTGAAGTCTACAAGCATGTACAGTAAGTGTGGGACCAGCTCAAGAAACCTTGCTGCGTGAGGCCAATGAACCTCATCTCCCACCTCAATACTACATATAGAAGCCAACTGAACTAGCAGTTGGGCTTCAGCGCTGGTGATTCTCCACCACACATGAGGTAGCAGAGCAGATTAGGGGGTGACCTCACCACTGCCTCCCCTCTCCGATCTACAGGTAAGCCACCCTCATGCTAGTAGCAGGAGGACAGGCAAATGTTTCTGCCTTGCCCCACTGACTGCTTCTGCCCTGCCTACTGGTAAAATTGACACCATGTAAATAAAACAACTGCATATTCTTCCTCTTCCCCACTCCCTCTTTTTCGGTTACCTTCCTTCTGTTGCATTTTAGAGGAGGAGACTTTTTACACTTTGCACCACACTGATGATGTGCTGCCATAATTTACAGTTAATAGATAATGGCTTGTATCCAGAGTACTGTGAGCTTTTGGGTTATTCCAATGGGGCTTTTCTTTTGGTCTGATGAGGAACTTTGTGGTGTTGATAGGAGGGAGACAAGAGTTGGAGGAAGGATGGCCAAGAGGCAGGAGGCAAAAGGACATGGCGACAGCTTCCAACTAACTCTTCAAATATCCAAATGGCTGTCACATGGAAGATGGAGCAGGCTTGTTTTCTGCTGCTCCAGAGGGGAGGACCCAACCAATGGATTTAATTGACAAGAAGGAAGATTACAAATAAACATTAGGAAGAACTTTCTGATGGCAGGAGCTGTTCAACAGTGAACATATTACCACATAAAATAGTGGACTCTCCATTACTGTAGGTTTTGAAGAAGAGGTTGGGAATTCTTTAGCAGTGATTCCTACCCATGGAATCCCTTCCATCTCTACAGTTCTACAATTCAATAACTCATTTCATCGAATGCAAGGCTTTTCACACATGCAATAGAACCTCTTCCCTTTCAGTGAGCAACATTCATTTCCTAATTAACCGAAATGCCACATGCTGGACAGGTGGTCATTTGTCAGAAAGGCTGGTTGATGTTCAGACTCTGTTCACACCTGCAGTTAGAGTGGCATTCTGCATGCTCCAGAGCCAACCCTTCTTATTATTCATTTTTAAAAGCAGCAACAACTTTGCTTACCTGCCGAAACTCCTTGAGATCAATTTTGTTCCCCACCAGCACCACGGGGATGTCATAGGTATGCCGGACACGATAAATGAGCTCCTTGAATTCTGCAGCTTCTTGAAAGGACTGTCGGTCCGTGATGGAATAGCAAATAACGAAGCCCTCTCCACCTCGCATATATTGGTCTCTCATGGCCGTGAATTCTGCCTGCAGAGTAACATTGAGATGCTATATAATTTAGCAAGCAAAATAAAGAGCCTATAAAGAACAGAGTTGCTGAGAGTGTGCTTCTAAGGTAATTTTTTCCTCCTTTTTTCTATTTCAAAAGTGATTTTGTTTACCATTTTAACTAGCAGAAAAAACACAGGTGATTCACTTCTAATATTCATAAGGCATCCAGGTCTTATCCTCCACCCTTCTTTCCCTTGAATCATTTTTGTTTGTCTGGTTTCTTGCGGTAAATAATGCAAAACGGTTAGCTGATTTTATTTTATTTTTAAAAGAAGAATATTTGAATTTGGATGTTTTGCATATATGTTTTTCTTCTTGTTTTTTGATTACTGTATTTTTCGCTCTATAGGACGCACTTTTCCCCCTCCAAAAATGAAGGGGAAATGTGTGTGCGTCCTATGGGGCGAATGCAGGCTTTCGCTGAAGCCTGGAGAGCAAGAGGGGTCGGTGTGCACCGACCCCTCTTGCTCTCCAGGCTTCAGGCAGCTATCCGCAAGCCTTTGGAGCGCAGCGGGAGTTCCCGCTGGGCTCTGAAGGCTTGTGGATAGCAGCCTGAAGCCTGAAGCCCAGGAAGCGCAGCACCAACTCCTGCTGCACACCCCGGGCTTCAGGCAGCTATCCGCATGCCTTCAGAGCCTGGCTCCCAGACCCGTTCTGGGGGCTGGGGTCAGGGGAAGCTCGGGTTTCCCTTGCCCCAGCCCCGCGGCTAAAGAGGAAGCCAAGACAGCCAGGGGGATGGATCCCGCTCGCTGTCTTGGCTTCTTTGCTCTTTGGGGCTGGGGGGGGGATATACCCCCCCCCCGTAAAGACTAGGTGCGCCCTATGGTCTGGTGAGCCCTATGGAGTGAAAAATACGGTATGTCCGTCTCTCTGCAATAGAGTCCAAAAAAAGGGAACCCAATAAAGCTCACCATTATTACAGTTTCACAGACCTGGAGGGCTTTTGAGGTTATATGAAGCTGTCTCATTCCAAATCCATTCATTTCATAGGAAGTCGCTTCTTACTGAGTCAGGTTATTGGGCCATCTAGCTTAGCATTATCTGCAATGACTGGCAGCAGATCTCCAAAGTCTCAAGCAGGAATCTTCCACTGCCTACTATGGGATGATGAGGATTGGACCTGGGACATTTCACATACAAACCACTGAGCTAACCACTGCTCTACCACTGAGCTATGGAGCTTCCCAATGATTCACACACACACACACACACACACACACACACACACACACACAATAAGCAAAGCTGCACTTCTGTCCTCTGCATGGAGAAAGCAGAATGGGACTTTGCAAATTACGGCAAATCAATTTGGAAATAACATAGACGTATTGTGTATGGGGCATGTTCCAATTCATGAAACCCTTTTCAAACCTTGCATTTTGAAGAACTGCCCTCTTTAAGAAGCATTCTCTATATTTGCTATGTTTTCAAAAAAATTTCAGAACAGAAAACCTTTCTTTCTTTCTTTCCAAACGACAGCAGCAAGCAACGCTTCTTTACTAATTAAGCAAAATGCCACATTCGTAGCAGGGAGAAATCAAAGGAGACATTAGCATTCAGGATGCACTGAATATGAGCCACATTGTTATCTCATGTACACATGAACCACAGGAAATGTAATGCTGAAAGTGCTGAACAGTATATTGTGGAATAGGCAGGTCCCACACAGGAGTGTCAAACGAAGTTTTGTGTTTAAAACACTATCAGTATCATTGCACCAAGGGGAGAGGATTAAAAAAGAAGTCTGGATTGGGGTGGCCAATATCTATGCTTCAGAGACAACTTCATTCTCCAAAAAACACTGTCCTGGACTGGAGATCCAAACAGCACCCTAAATTGCCCTACAGAATGGTCATGTTCAAAAGTTAGAACCCAGAAGACTTCACAGATTTTGTGTGCATTCATTCAGGTAGCCTGAGGTCATCAACGGAACAAGGAACATGTGCCACACAGAAGATTCCGCTCCATGAAATTGGTTGGTGGGGGGGGGTCTTCTATTTTTCAAGATTTCACAAGAGATCATTAAGAAATACAAAGGGAATCTTTGCTACTTTGACGGCAATGGTCCCGGGGAAGTACAACCCACTGACATGCAAAGGCTCTTTATATTCGACTCGAAGGCAGGAAAGGCAGAATTCATACTGGAATATTTATACAGAGACGCCATCTGCACAAAACAGCTGAACACTTGTAGGTTGCTGGTTGCCAGGGCAAGCAAAGCTGAAATAGCAGCACTCGGAAAACATGATTTTCGGTCTTCTCATTTTTCTTCCCCTTAACAAAGTTTACAAAGGGAGACGGCAAATGGGAAAACGGATGAAGACAGCAGACAGCAGGTGGTATCTAGGACATGTGCGCAAGCAAATGCCATCTGTTCCTGGGCTTAAAGACTGAAGAACTGGACGAAGGATGTTCCCAAGAAAAGACCAGGCAGGCAACTGGCTGACAGTCTCCTTGGGACTGCTCCCAATTTTAGGGTTCTCTGAATTGGTTCCATTTCACAAAATCAATACTCCTGCCCACATCAGCTCAAAGGTACCGGTAAGTCCCACACAGTAAAGGTGTTTTGGGTTGCAACCTCAATAGGTGAATCTACCTATGGCTTTCCCAAGTCAGCATTTTTATTCTTTTGCACACAATTCCATTGTGTTTCTTTTATATGTTAAGCTAAAAAGTCTCTCAGGTGGGAATGGGGAACCTCAGACTTGGAAGCTTTATATGGCCCCCAAGACTCGACCTAGGCCACATAACTTTCTGAGCCACATCCCTCACTTTTGCACCCTCCTTGAGAACAGACCTTAGGTTGCATAAGCACAATTTTGCATTAGTGTCTATGATGAACTGTCCAAGGTGCTGATTATTGCCTTCACTGGAACAGACATGCCTAGATGCTATGTGTTGCAGGAGTTGGGAACCTCAGACCCAGACTCCAGGCCCCTCTATTTGGCCCTCAAGACTCTCCCCAAGTGACACACTTTGCCTGCTCTACTTTACACCCTATATTCCTGGCTGGAATATGTCCTTGAACTCTGGTCATGCTTCTTGCTTGCCTGGATGGAAGATAGGGGGGTACATGTGTGTGAAGAAACTAGCCTAATATACAAAGGTAAAATTTACATTCAATCTTCTAGGTACTTTTAAAAAAAATGTAAAGTGTATTTTTTCTTGAAATGCACATTTACATGTGTATCGTGATATGCTCAAACTGTGAATCACAACTTTTGGAGAAAGCAAAAATTCCACATTACTGAATTGCAGACCAGATCATTTCTTCTAGGAATATGAAAATATTGAGTTCCTCCAGCCTTGGTTCTGGATTCATCCCTTAAACAGAAGGGGTGGCGGTGCTCCTTCCCACTTGCAGTAAAACAGTTCTGTGCAACAGTTTCCTGCTTGGCAAATTTTGTCTTTCATATTAATGCTAATGGCTTTTTCCTTAAGGAGAAACACCTTGATCATTTTCTCTTAGATGCAGTCAGTGGAGCAAGATTCACTGTTGAATCTCCTTAAAGAAAAATAAAGTAAAAAAGAAATCCAGCTTCATTTGGTTTATTGCACACTATAAACTATGTGCTCTCTTCTCATCTGCATGCAGGATAGTATAAAATGGATTTTCACCTTAAATCACAAAATGCATCATTAATAGTAAAGGGAACGGATTAATAGCTCAGTCATTATGTTTGAGGAAAGAGCAGAAAGGACTGGAAGGAGAAGAAAAGGTCCTGAAGGAGTTTGAAGGTGATAGCTTCTTCTGGTAAGTATTGAGTCCCTTGAGACCTGTAGATCTTTTCTTACTTTGTCCTTCTCCTACGCTCCCCTTTCTGAACAAGGTATCTATGTATAAAAGTGGGATTTTAACATTTCATTGTTTTTTGTCAACATCTCATCACACTCTGGTATAACCAAGAAGCAGGATAGAGAAGGCAAAAGCTCCATTGTGGAGAATCTGCTTTGAATGTAGAAGATCCCAGGTCCTGCCCCAGGAATGCTCACTAGATTCCACCAGGGAATAGTCATACCTCAGTGGTAAAACATCTGTGTGCAGAAGGTCCAAGGCTCAATGCCTGACATTTCCAGGTAGGGCTGGGGATGTCCCCTTGCGTGAAAACCTGGTGAGACATTGCTAGTCAAGGTGGACAATACTGAGCTAGATGGACGAATGGTCTATTTCAGTGTAGTGAAAGACCTTCGCTCCATGGTAGAGCAATTTGCATGCAGAAGATCCCTGGTTCAATCGCTAGTATCCCCAGGTAGGGCTGTGAAAGACTCCTGACTGTAACCTATATGTGGTGTGCCATGTAAAATTCCAATTAAAATAACATGTTGTAATGATTACCATCCAGTGTTGGAAATGTAGGTATTGAGTGAGGATTTACCCCTCCCAAGCCTATGATGAATAGCTAAAGGTAAAGGTAAAGGTACCCCTGCCCGTATGGGCCAGTCTTGACAGACTCTAGGGTTGTGCGCCCATCTCACTCAAGAGGCCGGGGGCCAGCGCTGTCCGGAGACACTTCCGGGTCACGTGGCCAGCATGACAAGCTGCATCTGGCGAGCCAGAGCCGCACACGGAAACGCCGTTTACCTTCCCGCCAGTAAGCGGTCCCTATTTATCTACTTGCACCCGGGGGTGCTTTCGAACTGCTTATTTGCAATGATTAAATAATAGTTTTCTCTTGGCATAATTTGCCTGTAAATAAACATCCACACTCAACAGCTGATACCATTTCCATTGCACCACTGAAGTGACATTTCCCCCCAATCACCAACCTTGGAAAGAAATACTTATTTTGAAGCAATAATGCAACAGGTGGGAAAACAGTTTGTGAAAATTATATTAATTTTATTAGAAGGCATTTTAAAATATAAGAGAGTTTGGATTTGATATCCCGCCTTTCACTCCCTTTAAGGAGTCTCAAAGCGGCTAACATTCTCCTTTCCCTTCCTCCCCCACAACAAACACTCTGTGAGGTGAGTGGGGCTGAGAGACTTCAGAGAAGTGTGACTGGCCCAAGGTCACCCAGCAGCTGCATGTGGAGGAGCAGAGACACGAACCCGGTTCCCCAGATTACGAGACTACCACTCTTAACCACTACACCATACTGGCTCTATTGCCCAGAATACAATTTTGTGGAAAGCTGCAAGCAGCTTGGTTTGAAATATGATTTATATATTTTCTTGTAAATACTGAACACCCTTCACTGTAGATTGTTCTTCAGGTAGTCATGCAAATAGGACTTTTACCTCTATTAAAAGTGTCCTGATTGCACTTAGCCACTACGGAACAGCACTTAACCCTTGTAGATTGCCAAAATGTTCAATATTATCATAAAGGCTTAACTCACTAGATATCCATTAAGATAAACATCAAATGCGTTTACTTTCTATAACATCTTTGAACACTGGAATGCAAACCATTAATTAGCATCAATAAACAAGAGCCCACAGAGACAGTGCAGGACAGATGCAATGATTGCCATTATCAATGTTCAATCTCAGGGAATATGATGCTTCAAAGGGGGGAAAGAAAGCATCCTAGCTCCCTGCCAGTGAGTTAATAAGATCTACCTTCTGTTTCCCATTCCTCTGACAACAATAACAAAAGCAAATGGGAGTCTCTGTACCTTGGAACAGATCCTCTACAACTGTTAGGTACATTTTCAAACAGTCTCTTGATCTCCTGTTCCTTTTCTAAATGCACCTCCCTAAACACAGTCACGCAACACACTTCGCTGACTGCACACTGGTGATTGCCAAGGCATTGTCTAGCCAACACCCATTGATGTTATCAGGCAAAACCTGGCAGTTTTGGGGAATGTGTCTCTGTGTTCAGACTGGAGTTCTTACCTACAGAGGTGGTGGTGGGAAACCAACGTGGCAGCCAGGTGTCCTGGGCCTGGGGGTTAACCCAAACCACACGGTCCAGGTCTGGTCCCAAATCCAATATTTCAACAAGGAGTCAGTCCAACAGGGACAAGGCAGGAAACCAGGCTAGGTCAGGCACAAGGTCTCAGGCAGGTTCCAGCAAGCAGCAATGTTGCTCCCGCAACCTGGAGCGGGGTCCAGCAGCCTTTTATCTCTGACGGGGGTAACGACCGGTCCTGATCCCCCAGTGACTCACCTCCCTGTTTCACCTGAAGGCGAGCACTCCTCCTGCGAGTACTCAGGTCTCTCCTCTCAGACCTGAGTCTCTGCAGCTCGGGAGATGTTGGTGGGTTACTAGATCCAGAGGCCGCCTCAGCCTCTCCTGGTAGTGGAGCAGCTGTACATGATTGACCAGCAGAGGGCAACGAGGTAATCCCCACATCTGGAGCCAGGGCAGGCTCAGGCCCCTGACTCAGCCCAGCTGGTGCTTGTTGCAGGGGAACCTGTGCAGACTGGGACTCTTCAGGATCAGGCCCTAGCCTTGGTTCAGATGCTGCCTGAGGCAAAGGATCCAGTGCGGACTGAGACTCCTCCGGCTCCGAGTCCGAGCCCGAATCCCAGGCCACCATACCAGGTGGTCAAAGACTTTCAAAAATGGGTGGCAAGTCTCACACTCAGCATCTGACTGCTGCCCTCCAGTCATTTCTGACTGGGCCTCCCCTGAGTTCTCCCACCAACTTTTGGGGGGCAAATGGCACATTTACAAACAAGAGAAACTGTTGCAGGCACAACACATACAAAGTCAGGGACTGGCTGGGTGCAGTGAAGTGGTTGAAGCTGCCTGACCAAGAGCCTCCCAGGGAAAGCACAGAGGGAGAGGAATTGGACCCTGGCTCCTGGTGGTGGGAAACTGGCCACACCCCAGAGGAGGGGGGAAAGCTGGGAAGAGCTGGGAGCTTGGAGAAAGATGAAGGGGAGGAAACAGGCAGGTGCACCAGCCCACAGGAAGTAGTCTTGGCAGCTCCTCCACAGAGCCACCCTGACAGCCTGCAAGCTTCCTACCTTCCAGAATAAGGCATCTACTGCATGTCACAGAGCAGAGAGCCAGGGAGAAACAGAGAGGGTCCATTGGGACTCGTGTGGCCAGAGGGAGAAGCCTGACACAGAGGGCTAGAGTGAGTGGGGGGAGTTACAAGCCAATCTGGGCAACTGCTTCATCTTCATGTAAGGAGCAACCCTTAGAAGTCTCTATGTACAGTGGTGCCTCGCAAGACGAAAAGAATCCGTTCCGCGAGTCTCTTCGTCTTGCGTTTTTTTCGTCTTGCGAAGCAAGCCCATTAGCGGCTTAGCGCTATTAGCGGCTTAGCGGGCTTAGCGGATCAGCTGATAAGCCGCTTAGTGGCTTAGCGGATCAGCTGATAAGCCGCTTAGCGGATCAGCTGTTAAGCGGCTTAGCGGCTTAGCAGATCAGCTGATAAGCGGCTTAGTGGCTTGGGAAAAAGGGGGGGAGGGAAAAAACCCTGCAGGAACTCGCAAGACATTTTTCGTCTTGCGAAGCAAGCCCATAGGAAATTCGTTTTGCGATGCACCTCCAAAACGGAAAACCCTTTCGTCTAGCGGGTTTTCCGTCTTGCGAGGCATTCGTCTTGCGGGGCACCACTGTATTCTGTGTTAGAAACTAACTGTAAGTTAGCCATTGTGTCACTGTCTTTTTCTGTTCTGTGAATAACCTATTCGCCTGTCAGCTCCCTGACATGTGCACACACTGCAACCAAGCACGCTATTGGCTACAACAGAAAGCATCTTTCAGACCTAAAAGTAGGAGGAGTGGAGCCTAGGGACACCAGGAAAAACCTCTGTGAGGGCATGTTTGTCCACAGGCACCACGTTGGCAATCACACCCCTCCACAGGCCACACCTCTTGTCCCAAGGCCACACCCCCTCAACAGCTTGACCTCCTTGAATGCTTTTACCTGGCTGGAACACATTATTGGCCTAGAATAATGCCTCTTGTTTAGCAGGAGAGATGATAGAGAGAGATGTGTGTAGAGATCTCTGACTTTTGCATGGCTGGAGTCTAGACTACTTACAAAGGTAATAGTCTCATCCATTGTTCCACCCATTGTTCTGCCCTTGCCCAGGAAAATGAGGCTCCTGGAAAGTTCTCCACAAGGAATAAAGTTTCCCATCCTTAGCAGGGGTCAGCAAACTTTTTCAGCAGGGGGCCAGTCCACTGTCCCTCAGAACTTGTGGGGGGCCAGACTATATTTTGAAAAGGAAAAAAAAAATATGAACGAATTCCTACGCCCCACAAATAACCCAGAGATGCATTTTAAATAAAAGGACACATTATACTCATGTAAAAACACACCGAGATTCCCAGACTGTCCATGGGCAGGTTTTAGAAGGCGATTGGGCTGGATCCGGCCCACGGACCTTAGTTTGCTACCCATGTTTTAGAGCAGCGGTTCTCAACCTGTAGGTCCCCAGATGTTGTTGGACTACAACTCCCATCATCCCTAAGCTCTGGCCTTGCTAGCTAGGGATGATGTGAGTTGTAGTCCAACAACATCTGGGGACCCACAGGTTGAGAACCGCTGTTTTAGAGGAAGGGGAGTTCTCACCTTTCAGAACCTTTCCCTCTGCCCTGGATCTTAAATGCCATATATATATGGGCTTCCCTTATTTTTTCAGTATCCTCACACACACTCTGTGGCAACTTTCAATGGCAGCTCAAATTGTCCAGGCAGAGAAACTACTCACTTGTCCAGCAGTGTCCAGAATGTCCAAATAAGCAGGTTCATCATCTATACGTACTTGTGTTTTATAAGCATCCTCTGCGAGGGGAGAAGCAAAAGAGAAAGGAAATAAACCATATAAGCAGGACTGCAGGCATTCTAAGCTAAAGGAAGAAAAAAGACAAAGTTGGGCAGCAATGCAACTTTAATTTCTGCAACGAGAAAGGAATAATTCTGCAACATGCATGAATCAAGGAAATTTCCTTGCATAATTCATTCTTCTTATGGCAACGGAGTTGGGGGGGTGGTATGTGCACTACAGTCTCCTATAGATAAGACACCTATAGAGTCTTTTCAAAAGTGCCCTCCTCTTGCTGCCTGCAGAATGCTCTCCCCAGTGAGGCTGCTTTGTCATCTTTTATTATTTGTTTATTAAGTTTATATACCACCATTCATAGGAATATCACAGGGCAGCTCACAACATAAAAATATAAAATGAGAAGACAGAATGCCTAATTAAAAAAAAAAGCACAAGCACAAAAACAAACCAATAATCCTGGGTGAAGTGAAGGCCCAAGACAGGTGTTGATCATAATCTGAGCTGCGCACAGGTGGACTGAAGTAAGCTACCACCATTCCTGTGGAGCCTCTTTTTATTGAGACAAATATGCAAGCTAGGCAGATACATTTTTGGGCTGTGACCTTTACACATCTTCCGTCCCGAGATCGTGGGGTGGTACAAAGCTATTTCGGCACCTGTTCCACAGCGTCATTTTCCCCTTGCACTGTGTATGATGAATGGAGACAAAGGTCTCATGGAAAAGGGTTACAGACAGGACACCGCTGACTGCTGAGACCGCAAAAGGAAACGATGTTCCAGACAGCCATGGCTTGTCTGAGGGGGAGTTTTTCCTGCACCCCAGGGTCACGCGTGCAGGCAGATTGTGGCTGCCTACTGGTGGGGAAGTGTGCTCCCTCCGGACCCCACTATCCACTCCGCGATATCCCTACACCTGGGGTCAAGGTACTGCTCTATTTCAAATGATTCATGAGATGAGATGTTCTTTTATGCCTAGCTAATTATCTCTGACATTTTTTTTCTGCTAGGGTGTTGTAGCTTTCATAGAACTCTAGGAACCTAGAAAGCTGCCTTGAGTCACACTATTGTCCCAACTTGCTCCATATTGGCTAAAGTGGCTGGCAGAGGCTCTCCAGGATTCCTAGACTGATCATATTCCAAGCCCTACCTGAAGATACCAGACTTTGAACCTGGGACCATCTGCATGCAAAGTAGATGCTCCACCAATGAGCAACGGCACTTTCCTAAGCAGCTGGTGAAGGCTGAACATTTGATCTGTGGAGAGGAGGAAAGTGTGCTTCATGTCTCATCGGCTGAAAAGCAGCTGGGGGTGTGTGTCAGCTTTGGTTATTATTATTTAAAGAAAACCTTTAAAAGTTTGCTTCCTCAGTCTATTACTTTTTCGGTTTAGCAAATTGGCTTTTATGCATGCATAACATTAAAAAGAAATTCTACACAAACTGTTGCCTTCCCCCCATAGTCATAGGCTGCTGTCTTCCAAGTGGAAAATAAGCACCAGCTAATATTTGTATAGATTATTTTGCTCCACTGTATATTTCACGCCCCGTCTTGTTATTCATATTTTCTTGTTAAGGTTAAATGGAGCCGAAGCGTCGGACAATATTTATACTGCAACATGGGCTGCAAATTATCTCTGTTGTTTAATTAAACAACAATGCAAGACAGGCGGTGTGTTTATGGTGATGGATGGTGTGCCTCGCTTGCCCAGTGAGCTGTGAGGCGAGGAGAAGGACCGGGAGTTCCCAACAACATGCCTGAGAAAGACCATTTATCAGCGGGAACATATGGACAGTCAGGTCCTATGTTACAATTCAAACTAGCCCTCTGCACCTAAGAGCCCATCACTTGGGCTGCCTGATATTTGGTATCCCCAGACTGCCCCTGCCCCTTTAATCTATCCTGCTCACACACCTCTCTCAGACTTAAATTTGAGAAGTTGTCTTTATCTATCCTCTTATAGATCAAAGGAGCTAGACTAGTTACTTAGACTCGAACTAGAAACATTTATATCCCAATTCTATACTTCCTACAATCAACAACTTTGCTATTTTATTACCTACAAGCATATCTCTCTCTGTGTGTGACTGCAACAGGTAAAATCTACTCTCCAACCAGTATTTACTAGCCAAATGCTCCTCATTCTGCATGCAAAAGGGTTTCAATAGTTAATTGGCCCTGTTACCCCCATGCATTAAAAAAAAATCATGAAAACTGATGAAGAAATAAGGAAATTTAACTTAAAACTAATACGAGGAACTGAGAGAAACCATTATTGGTGGATCAGCCCATCTCTAGCCATAGCTGCCTGGTCCCATCACCTCCTGGCAAATAGAAGGGGAAGAAATGGAGGCAGTGAGAGATTTTACTTTCTTGGGCTCCATGATCACTGCAGATGGTGACAGCAGTCACGAAATTAAAAGATGCCTGCTTCTTGGGAGAAAAGCAATGATAAACCTAGACAGCATCTTTAAAAGCAGCTTGCTGACAAAGGTCTGTATAGTTAAAGCTATGGTGTTCCCAGTAGTGATGTATGGAACTGAGAGCTGGACCATAAAGAAGGCTGATGGCTGAAGAATTGATGCTTTTGAATTATGGTGCTGGAGGAAACTCTTGAGAGTCCCATGGACTGCAAGAAGATCAAACCTATCCATGTTTAAGGAAATCAGCCCTGAGTGCTCACTGGAAGGACAGATCCTGAAGCTGAGGCTCCAATACTTTGGCCACCTCATGAGAAGAGAAGACTCCCTGGAGAAGATCCTGATGTTGGAAAGATTGAGGACACAAGGAGAAGGGGACGACAGAAGACGAGATGGTTGGACAGCATTCTCGAAGCTACCAACATGAGTTTGACCAAAGTGCGGGAGGCAGTGGAAGGCAGGAGTGTCTGGCATGCTCTGGTCCATGGGGTGAGGAACAGTCAGACACAACTAAACGACTAAACAACAACAACAATAAGGATTTGAATTATTACAGCAGTGTCCCAATGTGTAGCTAGGACTACATGCTGCCATGATCAACACCCCTACTTTCCATTTCAGAAGAGGGAAATCAATCTTACTCCAGGTTCTATCACACCTGCAAAATCTCCCCTCCCTTTGAAATCACCCAGCAGTGGCAGTCAAGTAGGACCAAGTGGTGCCTGTTATACAATATTGTTTTTGTTATTGATTTTTCTTTGACACACATTAGCATTCCAAAGCACAATCCCTCAAAGATGTTGATGGAGCAAAGCAGCCCATCTTCATTTGCTCGGTGTCCCTGCTCTTTAGTCTATACAGCTTCTGGTTGGTTAATTAGAATTCTTGGTGTTGAGCTTTGATTAGCCACATCTTAAAATCTCCTAGGAGCCAAGTTGGGCCATCTTCCCGCCGTAGCACTGTTGGAGGGGATTTCCAGCCGGTGGCAGAGGACAGAGTGACTCCAGGAGACATAGGTGTAAAAACCCAAACTAAAACGAAGACTTTATTACTAAGCAAATAAACACAAACTCTGGTGGATATTATTCCTGCAGGCAGGCAACAAAACTCAGCTTTTTTCCTTTATAGCAACGGTCACCTGCAGCCAATTAATCCCAGAAACTTCTTAAAGGTATACACACATGTTTCTGTGTCGAATGTCCTCTAACACCCCCTCTCATTCAAACAGAAACAATAGTATTTTAAACAGAACAGAACATATTTACATATCACACACAGCAACTCCCAACTTTGCTACCAGTCATGTTTTTCAAAGGTTAACGCTTTTGTAAATACATCCGCCACATTTTGTGTACTTTCACAATACTTCAGCATTATCTGGTTCTGTTTTACATTTTCAGCTACATTTTGATATTTAATTTCCAAATGCTTTGATTTGTTTCTAAACTGGTCAGACCCAAACAAAGTTATTACAGCTTGATTATCTTCCATAATTTGAACGGGATAATCACACTGTACGTTTATATCCTTGAGGATCTGAACATAAAATTTTACTTCATTACATAACTCCGACAATGCACAGTATTCGGCCTCTGTTGATGATGTGGCCACGATACTTTGTTTTTTGGATTTCCAACCTATTAAAGAATCTCCAAATTGAAATACCATTCCAGAAATTGATTTTTTATCAGGCAGGTTGGCCCAATCGCTGTCAACGTAACACTGCAATTTGGTGGAACCTGAAGATGGTAATCTTAAACAATAATCAAGTGTTTGCTTTAGATACCGGAAAATGCGTTTTAAACCTTTCCAGGCGTTTTCTGTAGGACAGCTTACTAGTCTGCTTAGTATTCCAACTGCATAACTCAAATCTGGTCTGCTCCACAATGAAATGTATAATAAACTTCCAATTATTGAATGGAACATTTCAGGATTTACAGGTTCTGTGCATTCTCCTTCATTTTTGAAAAAACCTATTTCCATTGGGGTTTTTACTCCCTTGCAGTTTTGCATATTGTTTCTTTCAAGTAACTCCATTATTTTGTCTTTTTGACTCAACAAAAAACTTCCATCGTTTGTTCTTTGAATTTCTAAACCGAGATAATTTTTTACTGGACCCAAATCTCTTACTTTAAATTCCTTTCTTAGTTGTTCTGCAAATTTTTCCACTTGCTTGTCACTTTTTGTAGAGTAAAGCAAATCATCAACATAACACAAACACAATTCTTGTTTATCACCCTTTCCTTTAGTGTACAAGCAGTATACACACATGTTTCTGTGTTGAATGTCCTCTAACAAGCACACTCAGGCAAGTGTCATGTTACATGAAGGTTTCTGTCAGGCACCACAGGGAGGGACCATAAAACCTGCTTCGCATGCAGAAGATCTGACGTTCAATCCCTGGTTTCTCCAAGCAAAGAATTGGGTAGCAGAGAATGGAAGAAAGCTCTGCTTGAGAACTTGGGGAGCTACTGCAAGTCAGAACAAATAATAAAAAGCTAGATGGACCAGACTTGTATCCTATGTTCCTGGTTTCATGAAAAATATTTACAGCATCTGGGACATTTTAGTTTAGAGAAAAT